ATATATGATATACGATGGAAGACATCCGATACACGATATTCGAGATACGGTGTACGATATTCGATATACGATACACGATATACGATATACGATATATGATATGCGATATGTGATATATCCACTTCTAAATCGAATATTTAAAAAAAATATGTTATCCCAATTTCAGTTCGGGCTATTAAAATATTGACTACTATCGCTTTCCACCCATTTTCCACTGTTACGCATGGAGTTTCAGAGTCAATGCATAGTCCTACTGCTATAACATATGAAAACGAAAATATTTATATTTGAATATGCATAATTTGGGGTGCCTGAGTGAATAATATGGTTGATTCGCTTAACACTTAGCTATGCAACTACTTTCTATGTTTATCATTAACATCTTCATTCATATGTAGCATATATAGATACTCTAGCCGAGCCTAGCCTAGCTTGGTAATCGTTAGATAAAAGCATTTATAGATGCAATATCAAAATATATATGTATTTATGTGTGTTCGCACTCTGCGTACACTTCTGATCATAAAAAACAAATGCAAATGAGAAACAGAATGGTAATTAGAATGAGAATGAGAATAATAATGAGAATGAGAATGCGAACCAGAATGAAAACGGGAATTAGAATGAGAATGTGAACTATATAACTTGACAAAGTGGGTTCGTTAATGTATCATATTTGATGATACGCACTCCATGATGCCAATGACATCATCGGCTACTGAAACTGTAAGGGAGGCGGGCTGAACACGGGTGGGTCTAGGCATTTGCTTTGATGTCATTAGTGTGCGGCTCCGCAGAATTTACAGTTTATGCGCGAGTGCGAATAATAGAGGCGAATTGACAGTAGAAAGGGAACGAAATGGCAGCGAAATGCGGCAAATTAAGAAATGCGCTGCTGCTGCTGCTGCTGTTGCTGCACTCTGCTGCCCTAACGTTAATCGATGTTGGTTAACGGTAACTGCCGTAACGCTGACCGTGCAACATTCGAGGCACATAATCCGTTCTAATACGCGAAACCTGTATGGGCTAGATCCGCTAGCAAAGCCGAACGAACATTAAGCAGCAATTAGACAAAAGAACTGAAACGATACGAAATGATATGAAATGGAATGAGTCGAGTTTCCATTGAAATGGAATTCAAGACAAGTGAACAAATTTTATCACAGAGGGACGTGGAGAGAGAGATGGGAAGGGGAGGGGAGAGAGGGCAGTCTGTAATATTCTTAAGAACTGAGTGCAGTCAATGAATGTAGAGAATTGGTTGAATCATTGAATGATTCTCAGCTTTAGAGCTGCCTGAACCCTCCTTAAATGCGCAGTTTATAGTCGGCACTTCCTTCGGGCGAAACAACACATGTTGATGACTACACAAATACCCTATAAACTGTGTGCTCTAATCATAGGCAACTTATTTATATAGGTAACTCTTTTTTATTTTATTCCAGTAACTTTTTGATTCCAATCCGATAATTCCGAGAAGAGCTATTCACTGGAACATGACTGGAATCGGAAAGCGTCGCTTTCCAGTCAGCTGCAACAGTTCTTTGATCAGATTTGCTAGGTTAATATTGAGTACAGGGCAACTGTTAGTCGAGCAAGTCAAATGCTTTCTATGCTGTTTGATCTCTACGTCAGAGACTGCTCTCAATGGAAAGCAACTCCATTGGAAGTAAGAGGGGAGGGGGGCTAGAAGGGATTGTCATGGAGACGACGACTTTCTAAGCGAAGGCCACGCCAGTGCGCATTCACACACGTGCCGCACCCCTCGCACCCTTTGGCCCCTGACAGCTTTGACAGCTGCTGCTACTGAATGCGCGTATCTTTTGTGTAAATGTATCTGTATCTGGGGCTGTATCTGTGGCTGTATCTGTTGCTGTGTCTGTTGCTGTGTCTGTAACTGTGCGAGGCGTCTTTGTCATTTGACGACACATTTGTGTATGCACATAAATTGCGCTTGGCGCTGAATTGGCGCATTTATGGTTGTTGTTGGTGTTGCCGCTGGCTCTGGCTATTCATATTTTGCATATTAATTGAAATGAATTCATAACAAGTTGACACTGCCCCGCAAGTTGGAGCCAAAGCGAAAGGTCAAACCATGTAAATGGGTCGGTTTATCGCTACGGCTCACAATGCATAATTACCGTTAACTAAAGACCCCTTATCTAGACGTACACTATTGATAATGTTCTCGACAATATTTTTAACCTTCATTCTCTCCCTCTTTCTTTGTTTGCAGGTGAGTACAAGTCGAAGACATTGCCCCGCATACACTTTGATACGGCACTAAACGATACGTCATTAAATGAAGGTAAACGTTGTTTGGGGTAGTCTTCAACGAGAAGATAAATAAATTGATAAGTTCGATATAATATATATACATATAACGTTAACAGCTTAAGGTTAAGCATGAATATAGGAAATATCGATAGTAAATTCGTTTTTATCGGTAGCATTACAACTATAATTTTAAAAGTAAACTCAATCCAATTTAATGTGCACAATACAATTCGTAACCGTGCCCAAATTACGCGTCACGCGCCCATCTCTAAGCGCGACTCGTACTTTGCATACTTTGCGGCGCTTGCGTAACTGTTTAGCATTGCATACTTTGCGGCTGGTTATGTTGTGTGTGCAGTGGACGGGAGCAAAGAAACTGTAATATTAGTTGGACCCGCATTAACAGTTCGTTGTGCCGTTGACATACGCATGTGTAACACAAACACAAATGAATAAGGGAATGCAAATGGAAATGGAAATGGCTAATTCCAAGCTTCATAAATAAGTCGCACAGTTCCGCTAGAGGTGCCGAGGATAAAGGCAAACAAGGGCCGAACGTGTCGCATACACGTAAAATACAAAAGTCACGCACTTCCGTTAAGCAGCCAACTGCTGCTATTGAGCGAGAGTGAGAGAGCAGAAGTAAGAGAGGCATGGGGTGGGTTTGAAAATGTACGCCTCTAATTTGCTTATTATGCGCTGTCTGTGTGTCCAAGTATGTTCCCAACACACACACAAACATATTGGATAAGAGTGTGTTTGTGTGTGTACCTGCGCTCAATTACGTTCAATTACGAGCCACATTGCCGCTCGCGCACTTTTGCCTTATGGCTTATGCCTGCGTCTCGTTTCGCTGTCTACTTCTCCCCTTACATTCTTCTTCCACTTGTGCTCTCTACAGTTGTTGTTGCTGCTGCTGTTGTTTTCCTTTCAATTTGGTTTCTTACAATACGCTGCGCTGCGCTTAAGACAATCGGGCATATTGCCTTTGTATCCTTGATAGATATGTATGTATATCTATAAATATATGTGTGTATGTAAGAATGGATATGCTTCTATAACGCATGCAGGTATGCAGATACCATTTGGTACATGCGTATCATTGGAAAACATGTTTGATCATGTCTTTGACTATTATATACATATACGACTTGTCACAGACACGTACAAACATGCATGCAAAATGTAAAGATAAGATCGAAATACACGAGAAATTTGTCAGTACAATAGGTCCCAATCCACGGGAGGTCTTTGTCACAATCCTTGTATAATTTATTATAATTTATTTCGCTGTAATATAGAAAATTGATTAGCTCAGTCAATTCTGGTAATAAAGATGTAAATATACATTTTTTGGAAAGGTTTCTAAATTGAATAAACATTCATCATTCCACTTCGTTCAAGCGATATTAATTTCAATTAACTTTAGTATAGATATGTGATACATAAAGATATGTGTTTAAATTCATATTGCAATTGTTAATATGTAGAGCCAAATTCTTAATTGCAGTGCATTTGTGTGTTCGCATGACTGAGTCGTGACAGCTCTCTCATACGCCTTGCACTTTATCGCGCTATCTCGCTCGCGCTGCTGTTTTGTGTCGAATTCGGTGGCTTTGTCAACGCGCATGGGCAGCACTGTGTCTATTCGGCGTTTGGCTACACTGAGCACTCTCTTACTTGAACCGAACAGGGCTGGGCAACGGTGCAAATTGTGAAGTATCATCTCACTTTGCTTTTTATTTCTACCATAGGTTAATAAAAATTATGCACTTCGATGTTGATTGCCGAGCAGTTCAATATTCAATGTTTACCGTATTTATAAACACTATTTTATTTGCTTATAATACAAATAAAAAATTAAATAAAAATTTTACGTACATATACACAACATAAACAACCAATTGGCTGGCTGTTTTGTTATTTTCCAGCCCTGCTTTTAAGTGATCAGCGTTAACGTTGATCGCTCTCTTGCTCTCTTACTTTGTTTCTCTCACATTTTTATCGTGGCCAAGCCGCTGCTGTAGCAACGGCTGCGTCGGCGGCAGCGTCAGTTGTGAGAAAGGCGCGTCATTGAGTGGTAGCGAAGCGGGAAGACGACGACGACGACGACGACGCCTTCCAATGCGTTTTTCTGTTTTGTGTTTTTTTTTTGTTGTTTTGTGTGTCGCGTTTGCGGTTTAATTTCCAACTTACAATGTATCTTCCGTTTGTCGTGATGCTTTAGCACTGTTCCACTAATTTCACTCTGTGCGTGCGTACATTTTTTTTTTAAGCAAATTATTTTAATCGTGGTTAAAATAATTTTTTTGTTGACAAGTTTTTGTTTTCATGAAATTTGTTTGAAATCGAAACAACTAGTTAAGTGCTTGTGTGTGTGTATGCATATAGTAAAACACACTCACAGATACTTATATAGAGGCGTACAACAAAGTCTTTATGAGCTGCGTTGCATGCAACGAAACGCAGCGAATGTGATGCAAAGTCGCGATAAAATAACAGCAAGCAACTACAACAACAACTGGCGACAACGACGCGTGAAAAAACTGTAAGAAAGCAGAAAAAATAAAATAAAACGTTCGCTCACAAACGCGGAAATGCACTTGAGCGCATAATTTTTATAAACCAAGCGACACCAGCGACAACAATAAAAACAAAATCGAGCAAAAAGCATAAAGGAAAAACAAAAAGAAAAAACTGCTTGTCAGCAAATTGCAGTAGCAGTAGTAGTCTAAGAAGCCACAACAAACAGACAAACACACAGTTGAAGAAGAAGAAAATCTCACAAACATAGAGCTCAGGCACTTACGCTCACACACATACATATAGAAATACCTGCACACTGTGCTCTCTTCCAGTTGTCCGCGCTGTGTGCGTGTATGTGTGAGAGAAAGAGACAGACATAGAGCGAGAGAGAGAGAGAGCAATGATGAGTTCGGCGCCTAAGCGCATCAGCAGCAGGAATAACAATTAAAATAAACGCGCAAAATGTTGCAGGCGCATAGCGACGCCAGCAGCACAACAACGACAACAACAACAACAACTAGAAATAGCGCTGAGAGCACAGACAGCGTCGCAGCTTCAACGCCAACGCAAGAGGAGAAAACACAACGTCGACGCTCCACCTTCTACGTACCGTTGGTCATCGAGGACGACGACAACGTTGACGTTCAGCAGCAACAGCGCCATCTAGCGCCACACGGCGGCAGCAGCTCTAGTTTGAGCAGCAACAGCTGGAAAAAAGGCAACGCAGTTAAAGCGGCTGAGCGTAAATCTAACGGTAGCAGCAGCAGCAGCGGCGGCAGCAAAATGTCACCGCCTTGCGGCTTTAATTGGAGCATTAGCGGCAGCGACGTCGCTGCTCAGTATTCAGATTCTGATGACGAGGATCAGCCGCAGCTGCAGCAGCGCCAGCGCCAACAATTATTAAAGTCTGCAACTACATCAGGAGCATCTACAACGACGCCAGCGTCCAACGCCAAGCTCAAGCGCTATGGTATTGTGCTGAATGTGATCAGCCTTAATGGCAGCGGCAGTGGCAGCGGCGCTGACGATAGCAGCGGCAGCGTTGAGCCTTTAGGTAATATGCCGCCAGATGGCGCCAGGTGTGCGCCACGCACTCATTTTAATGAAGATAACGACATTGTGATGGCAACGCCGCCCAAACAGCAGGCGCTCTCGCTCTCACCCGCACACTCGCGTCAATCGTCAGCGGCCGCCGACGTCGCTGCCGTAGGCTCCGTCGCCGTTGTCGACGACGATGACTCAGAGATAAGCCGCATGCAGACAAACACCTCAACGCCCATTAAGCTAATGAAGTCGCGTTCGCGCACAAACATTTTGGCTGTGCCGTTGCCCAGTGTGGAGCGCAGTCTGGCAACGACGTCATCATCAGCAGCAGCAGCTGGAACGACAACTGCAAAAACAACAACAACGTTAATCACGCTGCGCGCTAAGGCAAAAACGTTGCCGCAGAACCTTTCGCCGTCAGTTGCACTGCGCGAGGCGGCCGCGCTGGATGACACAGCGCACTATTACAACAACAACAACAACAATAACAAACAACAGCAGCAGCAACCACAGCATCAAACATTGCCGCAACGTCAGCTGTTTGGCGGCAGCAGCAACAACTGCGCTGGCTCCGGCTGTGGTTCCGTTTCTAGTTCCACAACGCCCTACAAGTTGCAGAGCAGCGCCTCAGCTGCGTCCATTTTAACGCACAGCTTTCCGCCTAAGAATCTGTTCCTACTGAAATCGACGCCCAAGCTAACAGTGGACGCCACACCTCCGCCAACGCCCATCACTTCACCGCCAAAAAAGTCGCTCAGCTTCATACGCCGCGCTCACTCCACAAAATTGTCGCGCAGCAATTCGCTGCTGAAAACGATTGGAAGTGGTGGAGCAGGCGCCGGCGCAGCGTCGTCATCGGCGCATCAGTCGCTGCAGCAGCATCACGGCATGGCGCACGGCACAGCGCTGTCGGCGTCGAGCAGCTGCGCCAGCGACACGGGCAGCTGGGGCAAGCACTTCTACCTGAGCTACGACGTCTGCCCGCTGGGCTTGGACGAGCTAAGCGCCTACTTCCAGACCGATCACTGCGAGCGGCTCATCTGCGAGCGTTTCATGCTGAAGGATCTCCACCTGTACTCGACGACCAACACCTCAATTGTGGCAGCAACTGAGACAGAAGCCTCCCAATCGGTGTCGGAGCAGCAGGGCAATGCAGCAGCAGCGGCAGACGATGATGCGGGACATCATTCTGGTAGGTCGACAGCCCTGATACCCTACAAAGAGCATTAACATAGTAGCGGAGCAGCCCCTACGTACTTACATATATATTTTTGATCACGAAAAGTACAGTGCAGATTGGAACTCTTCCACATGGAATACTCTACTGGACGCCCCTTCTCTGTCCCTCCCTTGCTCTCTCTCGCTCTCTGCCCGTGTGTTGTTTGAACACGCTCGGCACGGCTCGTTAGTTTCTCACTTCCTGTTACTGTTAATATTACGAACCCTTGATCAATCGATACCCCTACCTCGGACCCTGGGCATGCTCTCGCCCCCTATTGTAATGTTTCCCCCTATTTTATTTAGTGGTTGATATGCGCCTCACGGCCAGGGTCGCCTACTTTGTCGTCTCTCCATTTTATACTCGACTCACTCAGTTAGACCGTTTTTGTTTCGTTCCCTTCCGATCGTGCGCATTGATCGCCGTTGCTTTTCTGCGAAAGAAAGACAAAGCATGATAAGATAAGAGAACACGATTTCGTTCCTTTGCCCCCTCCCCAATTCATGTCCAATAACATTTCCATGCTTCCAGACTTCCAATTCACAGTTTTTGTATGTGTGTGCGTGTGTGTGCGTGTGTTCGACTATCGATGTACTTCACACATTTTACAGTGTGCCAGCCGTGCCCCCTCCCCCACTACACCTTTTTAAGCCTTCCTGTTCTTTAGCGTTACCTTTGCTACTTTTTTATTTACACTTGGCGAGTGTTTTCTCTCGTTTCTTGATGTTATTGTTGTTGTTGTCTTCAATGTTCAATCGTACGTCGTTTCTTTGTGGAATCTATGCATATGTAGTTGTATATATGTGTGTCTGTGTGTGTGTATAGTTGCAGTGGTAGTGGTAGTGTGGTAGTAGTCCAATTGTTTGGCTCAATTGTTGCCTATTTTGATGGCGTTGGCCCTGAGAAGGCAGCGAAGCGTCGCACAATGGGCGTCAACTGGCTGACAGCATACAAAAATATATATTTTATGAACTCTTTTTTTGTACTAGCTACAATTGTACTTCCCCTACACTCTCAACACACAGACACATAAAAATACATAATCATTTCACCATGAACAAATTCCATTTCAATTATGTTGATTATGTTTATTACTTTCAAATTGTTATACAATCACGATCGTATAATTTGTTAGTATGTATGTAAAAGGGAAATACATACATGTCAGTATTTAAAATAATTCTAGATAGAATAATTCTAGATAGTTTTCCAACTTTAGGATTTACTTGAAACTGCATTACAATTGATTTGATGACATATATCGATAGCTATGTGTATATAGAACATGAACATAACTTATCGATAAATGCCAAACAAACTTATCTTTTAGACTTTCTTATCATTTGACTTGGAGGACTGTTAGAAGACACAAGAATTAATCAAATATTATTTGCAAATTGGAATCTAAAAGCCATCGAGTATATTGGTTCGATTATGCTAATGTTCTGCGTAAATACACTCACACAGGCACGTGTGGCACACATACAAGCCTTAACACGTACTTATTTATGTATGTATTTAGTCCATTCATACACTCTATTGTTCCGTCTTTCGTCCAGCATTCGGTGTTTAATATTTTTCTTTCGGGTTTTGGCTACAATTTCAATTTCATTGCGCGTCGCCGCTGTTTTTGTTGTTTCTTTTGTGCTTTGTTTTTTTTTTTCGCTGCTTTTATTATGATTCACACACACGCACACTGACACCCGCACCGAAAACCAGTTTAGGCTGTGAACTAGCAGTTGGAACATTGAGTGGACTGAGAGCGTAGCTAAAATAAAGAGAGAGCTAGAGAGAGAACTAAGAAACCAGAGAGAGCGCGCATTGGGCACGGTCGAACAGTAAACGGCAAACAAACGAGCCGCTTTATTTAAAGTCTAAATTGTTGTTGGCATTTTTGTGCATGTTTAGCAGTTCTTGTTGAGAGAGCAGAGAGACAGGCTGCCAGAGTGCAAGAGTGCAAGAGTGCCAGAGCAAGGAGCAGATCGACTGACTGACACAGAACGAAACAGATAGAGAGAAAAAGAGAGCGAGAGCCAGAGCCAGAGAGTGAGGGATATGCACAGCAGTCAAGCGTTGTTGCACTTTATTTGAAATTTGATAAGACGAGAAAACGGTTTTGTAACAACGACTCAGCTGAGCGATTCTCGATAAAGTCACACACACACACATAGACAGAAAACTCTGATAGAAAGACACATAAGCAAACATTTGCTGGAAATGTGTTTTGAAATGCAAAGTCAAAAACACGCACACACTGACACACACATGTGCATATTGAAGAGAGTCATGCATGTGGCCTTAGTTCGTGTATGTGTGTATGCACTTTTCATATTTATTGATTGGCCCCCGACTGTTTTCACATTCTGCTTATCGGCCTGGATCGCAAACGCATCTGCCGACGCGTACAGCCGGTGTGGACATTTTTTGGATCTTCGCTAGGCAACGCTCTCGCTCTCGCTCTCGCTCTCGCACTTGCGATTACCCATCTCCTGCGCTTGTGCTACCCATACCTCTGTGTAGTGTATCTTTTCTACGCTTTCAACCATTTATCAGCTCAAGTTGACGGATCGTGTGAGATCCGAGAAAATACATTTGTTTAACGCGCCGTTAATTGAGTTGACCTTATCGGCGAGGCAAAACCAATCTCTATCTCTCTACATATATATATATATATATATATATATAGATTCGTCTACGTTTTCGATTTCCAATCCATTTCCCATGCGTTGCCATCAAACTCAACTTGTATGGCTGTTGTTTCTGCAGCTGCTGGAGTTGTTGTTGTTGTTTTCTACTTTGATAGCTTTCACTGCCCCCTAACCCCCCATTGGTCAGTGGCCCTACACGAATTGAAATCCGTTTTGGAACGCATACCAAAATGTCGACGATGAAATCACCAAAAGCAGTCGAAATTCGAAATACGAAATACGAAATACGTAATGCTCGTATATTCAGATCAGAGATCTCTGTGGAGGTCGCTGCCTCCTCAAAACTTGGCTCATCTTCAGCTTTTGACCAAAATTGTCGCTGCGCTGTAATAGGCCCTGGCCTTTGCCATATGCGGCTGTGATTGCGATCTCTAAAATAGAATTGGCAAATATTATATGTCCACAGACAACAACAACAACAACAACAACAACAACAATGATAGTTAAATGAACAGGCGACAAGACTTGCTCAAGCGATTTCCTAAGCAAACAGTTCGATCTGCGATATGCTTTATCAGTCGTCTATGTTTTGGAAGTATAAAATATTCCCTATCTGCGTAGAAAAATGATTAATAATGTTTTGTTTACACTAGCTTTACACTTGTAGTTGGGTGCCTTAGTCCATATGCACATATTTCATTTGGGATGATAACACCCTTTCAAGATCTTCAATATTTATTGAAAATGTGTTTATTGAACCCATTTTACTTGAGCAGCATATCTGATCCGTCATCCCTGCTGATAAGACAATCTGAAGCGCTTTAAACTACTTTATATTAATATATATATATATATATATATATATATATGGATAGACGAACTGTCATAAATTCCAATTGAAATATGTGAAATGTCAAGTGTGCTGAGATACGATCTATAAACATACAAACCTTAACTCATAGAAATTAATTGAAGATGCAGATAAAACATTAAAAAAGAACTGAACTAAAGATTAGAAAAACTCAGAGAACAAACGAGTAAAGTCGTGAAAATGTTTATTGAAAAATCTACAAAGAAAGTTGAGAGCACGTAACTTAAATAGATTATGACCAGCGGAAGCGTGGAGAGTTTAAACCAATGCTGAGAGAGGTTCACAAAAGTTAAAAGAAGAAAGAACAAGAATAGAGTTCTTTCAGCTTGTCTAATTAATCTTAAGGAAACATTCTCTGGTCTGGCGGTTGCTCTATATTAATAGAGCTTTTGCTTGGGAAGAGCTCCTAGATATGCTTGATTTGCTATAAGTTCGGCTATATTGAAATGCCATTCTTGGCCGTGTCATATGACATCATATGCATCTTGGCCATATATTACTGATAATAATGAGATAACGCCAGAGCCGAGTACAGCTACTTCCTCTGTAGTTATGGCTTCTAGCTGATCTATTACAATCATAATCACAGCTATTCACTTCAGCTATTCATTAAGTGGCTCTGCTTCATTCCCATCGTTCCATCTCCCTCTCTCGCTCTCGCTGCCTTGTAAACATAACCATTTGTGCGCTTTTGTTGGGTGCGCCGCCTCTTTACATGGGCATTGGCCATTGGGTCGTGTTTTTGTGTGGTGGGCGTGTAGATGTGGGCGTTGGGTGCGTTATTCAAATCATAATCATAATCTGCACCATTTTTGTAACTGGGGCTATATCTTCTTGAGCTGCTTCCTCTTCTTTGTGTGGCCTTTGTGTCATCCGATGGTGGGCGGCGCCTATTTGGGGCTGGCCAAGAGTGGGAAATGTTTCAACGGGTTTTGATCGCCCATAGAAATTCTTTTATAAATAGAAACAATCTGAATATGACACAATTTCAAAGCTGTAAAGGCTATACCCTGCATAAGATTGCGAAGAGTCGTTGCAGCTCGAAATGTTTGTCTTGATTGAGCTCAGGCACTAAGGGAGATATAGTCAGTATCTTTAGTATTTTTAATGCCATTATAATCAGCTGAGAGATCGTAGGAGTGAAGAAGGAGCCAGAGTTGTAACGATGCAGGGTATTTGGTAGTCGTGCTGGCATGCCAATTGCGGTTGCTTAGGGGTTCTTTTCTTTTGATGACAAATCGCTGTGTTTGCATCTCTGGGCAACTGGAAATGAATCAACGTTGCGGAAGAGTTGCCCCCAAAAGGCGAAGCTCATCAAAAATGAATAAATCACAGCTGAAGGAGCTCGCTGAGACGCAGAGGGGGAGAGGAGCAGTGCGGGGTCAGAGCACAAAAATTATTATGTTTGCTTTGGCTTGGTGAGTCACAAACAAAAGCAAAAACAAAACAAAACAAAAGCAAAACAAAAGCAAAACAGAAATGAAAAAGGGTCGAAAGCTTCGCTTGCTGGGTGGGCTGACAAGGTCGTTCCCATGTCTTCAAAACTCTAGAGGTTCTTTTGTGAGGGCGGATACGCACTGAAGAAGAGGAAGCAGCAGAACTAGACGCTGAACCAGAACGAGAAGAATAAGAAGCAGAATAATAAGTAAAGAAGATCAACGGAAACCAGTTTTGCAGCAGCCTCGTTTACCTTTTTTTCGGGGCAGTTTGATGAATCATGAATCATTGGGTATTCAGTACCTGCAGCCTCTTGCTGTGGGCGTGGCGGGCTGGCAGCAGCAGCAGCAGCAGCAGCTAACTGCCAACCGGGGCAGGTGATGTGCAGCAGCTGCCACTTGGGCCACCTTTTCCTCAGCTTCGTGTGTGTGTGAGTGCGTGGAGTGTGTGGCATCCAAGCTAAACCGGTTGCACGTTATGCGGGCTCGTTCTACACGGCCGTTGTCTCTCCTTTGTCTCTGCGCAATTGAAAGAAAAAATACAAAAATTAAAGATAAAACCTCAAGCAAAATTCCAGCAGACAATGCCCAGGATTAGGATAAGTATCCCAAATAGCCGCAACACCCGACTAACGGATCTTCGAGCTGCTAAATGCGACAACAATAGAAACGTCATCTTGAAACATGTCAGCAAAATGAATTGCACGACTCAGGAGACTGGTTTATGAACAAGTTTTTATATAATATTTTAAATACCGATGAGTTAATCGGGAATTATTAAAATAACATAAAAACATTATTAATTCTTAAACAATGAAAGTCAGAAATACAAAAGCTGCATTAAATTGCAATTTATGCATTGAAATGCCTAAGTATACACGTGCAACCGGCGAAAATCGTGTAAACTTGCCATCAATTAAACAATATTCAAGACTAAGATTTATTTTGGAAATGCCTTCAGCAACGTCCAGCTAATCGATTAATTTACAGCTATCGACATTTATCGGTGTTGTGTATTCAAGTTTTAAGAGAAATCGGGACATGGACTAAACTCGTTATTCTCGAATTTGTTATCAGTTTTCAATTTAAGCTTATCATATATTTTGGATCGATCGATAACTATCGATTATTGAATATGAATCACTAAACTAATCGAACCTATTTTTATCCGCTTGATCCACTTGCAGATACTTCATATGAGAAGGCCTGTCGACGCGGCTCGGCGCCCACAACGCCCATTTTGGGCAGCAAACAGCATCAGCCGGAGCATAATGCCGCCTCGCGCTTTACCAATTTCTTCTCGAAGAGGTTTGTGCGTGGCACTTGAGCCAATGAATAGCCAATAATAACGTCGCTGCTCTCCCCATTTACAGATCGAATCCTCTCAAGCGCACAAAGTCAGTCACCAAATTGGAGCGCACCAAGCGCGGATCGGGTGGCCTGCGCGGCTCGCGCTCTCACGAGAGCCTGCTCTCCAGTCATGCAGTCATGTCCACCATTGGTAAGTGTTCCATTGGCAATATCTAGAGACTCGTTGCTCGCTGCAACTAAATTTTAAGCCGGCGAGTGCTGCATTGTTATTCGTGATCTTTGCTATTTGGCTAACTTCTCTCCTCACGCATGCCCTTCGAGGTCTTCACTCGTTAGATCTACTTACTCGTTACTTGTTCAACTCACTCGCTAAGTGCGAACACCTCTTCAACTTACTAGTTGCTCCGAAGACCTACTCGCTATTCGAAGATCGTACTCGTTACTTGATAGACTGACTCGTTAACTAACTCAATTGACCTAAAAAACTTACTCGTTACTTCTAAAATTTCTCGTCCATTTACAGTGTCTCGACTCGGTTGGTACTCGAAAAGGCTAACACTCGTTACACCTCAAACGTAATCGTTACTTGTCAATTTACGACACTTTTTGCATACATTGCCTTACTCGCTACGAGAAAGTATATCGATCGAGTAACGAGTAAGTTTAACACTCGTTACTCGATCGTTATACATTCTCGTTCTCAACTCGCTTTGCTGTATTCAATAAATCTACTCGTTACTTTTCGAAAGTTACTCGTTACTCAAGTCAACTCGTTACTCTTAAAGCTTGTTCGTTTCTAGTCAAACTGACTCGTTACTCGCCAGACTCACTTAAGTTCTGGTTAGGTTTACTCCAAGTAGACTTGTTAAGCTCTAGACTTTCGCCTTGTTCGTTAAGCTCAGTCGTTAATTTGTTCTTCTCGCTACAGATTTGTCATGCAGCGGCGCTGTGGGCGTGGCGCCCGTGCATCAGTCGGTGCTGGGCCGGCGGCACTGCTTCCAGGTGCGCGGCGGACCGCGTGGCGAGCGTTACTATTCGTGCGGCTCGCGGCAGGAGCGAGACCTGTGGATCTACTCGCTGCGCAAGTCGATCGCACCGAACGCGGAGCACACACGCCGCACGGACAACTCGCTCAAGTTGTGGGTCTACGAGGCAAAGAATTTGCCAGCGAAAAAGAAATACTTTTGCGAGCTGCAGCTCGACAAGACGCTGTACGGCCGGACGAGCGTTAAGCTGCAAACGGATCTGCTATTCTGGGGCGAGTACTTCGACTTCCCGGACATACCCGAGATCAACGTGATTACGGTCAATGTATTTCGCGAGGTCGACAAGAAGAAGAAGCGCGACAAGTACCAGTTCGTGGGGTCAGTTAAGATACCCGTCCACGAGGTAACATCGCGGCTCATCTGCGAGGACTGGTACCCCATACTGAGCGACAAGGCCGGCGACAGCCTCGGCCGCAGCGGCATGGGCAAGGACAAGGAGAGGGAGCTGCAGCCGACGCTGCGGATCAAGTGCCGCTTCCAGAGCACCGACATCCTGCCCATCAATGTCTATGGCAACTTCCTGGCCTACCTCAAGGAGAACTACAAGCGCGTCTGCGAGACACTGGAGCCAGTGATTGGGGTCAAGGCCAAGGAGGACATTGGCCAGGCGCTGGTGCTGCTGATGCATGCGCAGGGCTTGGCCGGCGCCTTCCTCACCGACGTCGTGGCCCTCGATCTGCTGCGCGTGGGCGATCAGCGTCTGACCTTCCGCGGCAACTCGCTGGCCACCAAGAGCATGGAGGCGTTTCTGAAGCTGACCGGCGAGCAGTATCTGCAGGACACGCTCTCGGCGCCCATCAACGAGCTCATCCAGTCCGACCGCGACTGCGAGGTGGATCCCACCAAGACGAGCGGCTCCTCGGCTGGCTCGCTGCAGCGCCAGCAGACGGCGTTGCGCACCGCCGTGCGCAGTGCCTGGCAATGCATTTACGAATCGCACAAGCATTTTCCGCCGCAGCTGCGCGCCTGCTTCGCCACGTTCCGGGAGCGCTTGCAGCAGCTGGGCCGCCTGGACATGGCTGACAACCTGATCTCGGCCAGCATATTCTTGCGCTTCCTCTGCCCGGCGATCCTGTCGCCCTCGCTGTTCAACATTACCAGCGAGCTGCCGTCGGCGCGTGCCACACGCAACTTGACGCTGGTGGCCAAGACGCTGCAGACGCTGGCGAACTTCACGCGCTTCCAGGGCAAGGAGAACTTCATGGAGTTCCTCAACGATTTCCTGGAGCAGGAGGCTGCGCGCATGCAGCAGTTCTTGGAGTACATCTCGACGCGGCCCGACCACGCCACGCCCAACTCCATCCTGGACTGGGCGGGCTACATAGATCAGGGCAAGCAGCTGTCCATCCTGCACAGCCTGCTCAGCGAGAGCCTGGCCAAGCTGCCGGAGGCGCGCCAGCACGAGCTCGACCCGCTGCAGCACATACTCGACGACATTAGCCGCGCCAAGGAGCTATCGGCGGGACATGCCCTAGCCTCCGGCTACCTGCCCACGGTCATGTCCACGCACAGCATTGCCAGTGAGAACCAAGAGAATCGTCAGCCGGATGCAGCTGCTGGCTCTGGCATGGTGCCCAGCAGCTCCAGCAGCTCGCTGCAGCAGCAGCAGCAGCAGCAGCAGATGCAGCAGCAGCAGCAGCAGCAGCAACTAGCTCAGCCACAGCATGCGGTGGTCAGCAAGCCGCTGCCTGCAGAGCGTGGCATTATGCGAGGTGTGCTGACGCCTAGCGCATTGGAGAAGAACATATTCCGCTACAATGATCCCACGGTGAACGTGCGTCTGCAGCAGCAGCAGCAGCAGCAATTGGAGCAGCAACACTCGCATCAGCTGCTATCCAACTCGCAGAGCTCGATCGCTGGCACAGCTGGCGCTGGAGGTGGTGCGGGTGGTGCTGGCTACATGAGCAGTCCGGTGCTGCAGCACGCCCAGTCGCAGAGCTCGATGGCGTCTTCCTCGTTGAATGGCAGCAGCAGCAATCTGCTGCATCCGCATCAGCATCAGCATCAGCAGCATCCCGCCCAGCATCTCAACCAGCACTGCCCGCCGGCGCCGCAGACGAGCGCCGCCAGCACCATGGAGCGCTTGGAGCGCATGGAGCGACTTGGCCAGACCTATCAGTATGTGGTCAACCACAATGGCAACAGCAATGGCAGTGGCAGTGGCAACGGCAACGGCAACGGCAATGGCAACGCTGACTACGACAGCTCCACGGGTGGCAGCTCCCGGGCGCGTACCTTGCCCCGCAACAACAACAACAACAACAATGGCGGCGGCAACGGCAGCAACAGCAACCAGAGCGGCAGCTACGACGACATGCACGGCGAGTTTATCCAAATCTCTGGCCTCGACACGAGCAGCGCTTTTGTGCGCAAGTCGCCAACGCCGCTGCTGAAGGCGGGCGCGGCAGCGGCAGCGGGAGCGGCTCCGCGTGGCACGCGCATCAATCGTCACAACTTGAACCTGAATCTGGGCATACCCGACCACTCGGCCCCTCACAATTACGCGCGTGCGCCGCTCAACGCCAACTCGAATATGCCCAAGAATCTGGAGGATCTCGACGATCTGTTCAAGTACGCCGAGGAGCAGGACGTGATCGTGGAGCCACAGCCGAGCGGCAGTCACGCCCACGCCCACGGCCATGGCCATGGCCACGGCCACGCCCACAACAAGCAGCAGCTGTCGGCGAAGAGCAGCCACTGCAGCTCCGGCTATCAGAGCATCTCCACGAATCCCTCCCCCGCACAGTCCTCCAGTCCGGTTGAGGGCCAGTTGCAGCAGTCGCAGCCCCAGCCGCAATCGGCGCATAAGCTCGGCGCTCCGCTGGCCTTCAAGAATCCCTCGTATCAGCTGCAGAGCAGCGTGCCCACTGCCTCGAATCGTGGCCCGCCCACGCCACAGCAGCAGCAGCAGCAGCAGACGACGCCGTTTGGCGGCCGTGTGAAGCTAATGGGAGCCGGCCTGGTGGCGGCACGGGCTGCCTACTTGAACAGCGGCGGCACCTTGGACGCGGCCACCTTGACGCCCAGCTCCTCGGACGAGCAGCTGTCGACGGACAATCACTACAGCTATGCGGCGGCAGCGGCTGCCGGCGCCAATGTCGTCAACAAGTTGGAAGCGCAGCGCTCGCTCAGCGGCGGCAGCAGCTCCTCCAACTCCAACTCGAGCAAGCCGACCCACGCCTACGGCCGTCTTAACGGGCCGCTCAAGCGCGAGGACGTCTACGGCAGCGCCTCCGGCATGCCCGTAACTTATGCCATGTCCACGCACCAGCAACAGCAGCAGCAGCAGCAGCAACAACAGCAACAGCTGCAGCAGCATTACCATCACCATCCCCACCAGCAGCAGCAGCAGCAGCAGCAGTTGCAGCAGGATCACAAGCAATACGCCAGCAGCGGCGGCGGAGCCAGCAGCACGGCGACATCCAGCACGGCGGTGGCTCAGCGCCGACTCAGTCTCGACTCGGCGCGAACGCTCTCCGACAGCAGCACCGATACGGAGGGTAAGTTCAGGGAGAAGCAGTCAGCAGCTGGCTGCCTTAACGTTAGGATAAACTCTTTTGAGAGGAAGGGCAGTTGACAAGGAGAGTGCATAAGATCGCAACAAATAGAATCTATTTGCCAGACGGCCTAAGTGTAGTGCCAACTAAACTCATGTCAATTTTTACAAGGAAGCTAAGAAGCGTGGTAAATTATTGTGATAATTCTGGGGAAGCTGTTTACTAGAAAGATACGATATATTGATATGATATTGCGATAGTAGATAATGTTCATTGTAATATTTACAAGCAAGATGAGGCACATTTTAGGGTTGGGATGTCAAGCCAGATGCAGTGCATTGCAAATCCTGCAATGCAAATGGAATTCGATTAAATTTGTTATTAGGCAGTCAAAGCTCTTTCGATGCAGCAGCAATTTAAAGATCGTTGCAAAGTGCCTGGTAGGTTTGCCATGAACATGCTAAGACTACAATTGCCTCGAATCGCTTTCACAGGTCACTGCGCACAGCTGCAGGAGGGAAAACGACGTCGCCAGCTGCGCAGCAACGCCAACAGCGGGCTTGGCGGCGGCGCTGGCGTCTCGGTCTCGGTGTCGGTGTCGGATTCCTCGGGCTTGAGCAGGGGCTACGATCAGAACGGCGAGATCCAGCTGCTGCAGGAGACACTGGACACGCTGCGTCACACTCTGGACCGCGACGAGGCGGAGCTGCGGGACTCCAGCGATGAGCTGTTCGCCCTGCAGCGACCAGGAGGAGCAGGAGGCGGAAGTGGGGGCAACGGCGTCAGCAATCTGAGCCTGCAGTCGGAGTCGACCATGCGCAGCATTATTGACAGGTGAGTGTGTTTACCAGCTCGCTCGCACCAGCCAGCCAACTAATATTAGGCAAACCCTTTGCAGGCTTATCACCATGGAGGAGGAGTTGCGGCGCGAGCAGCTGAAGATGTCGCTCGCCCTGTCGCACAAGCAGCGCGTCATCGAGGAGCAGGGACAGCAGATAGCGGCGCTCGATGCCGCCAACAGTCGGCTGCTGAGTGCGCTGACAGCGCTGCGCCAGCGCTACGAGACGCAGCAGCAGCAGCAGCAGCAACAACAGCAGCAGCAGCAGCAGCAGCAACAGCAGTAAGCACCAAAGAACCAGAAGCCACAGTGAACGAACGTTTGGAGCGGAGGAGCGGGCGGAAGCAGGGGCGACAGCAGCGGCAAGTGGGTGGTGCGTGGTGGATGGTTGCATGTAGAGTAGCTACAGTCCCAACACACACACACAAACGCAAGTTGAGCCGCCGTTGCCGTCGTGTTTTTTTATTGTCATAAGAAACATTTTTGTTTACATTTTTTTTTTGCGCAAATTTTTTTTATGCTATGATACATAAATTATGCTACATGTTTAAAATATATTACACTCATAAACACAATTGTATATGTGAGTGCGTATATATATTTATATATATACATATATACATATATACATAAATAATACACATATAATATATAAATAATTTCTCAAGCTATGTTTAAACAAACTGATGTGAAAGAAAACGCAACTGTTGCTGCAGCAGCGGTAAAAGCAGACGATTGTAAAACTAAAATTAAAATTATATAAAGAGAAAGTATAAAAGGACGAAGTGAAATACAGAACAAGTTAAGTTAATGAATAAAAATATAACCAAAGTTAGACAAATTTCGATTGTGTATTCACTTTTTTACATGGATTAGACAAGATCAGCGAAGCTATTGAGTGGCTGGGGAAAAAACCGACCTATATGCAGAGCATATTTGTAATTGGTCTTCGAACATTTGAGAGTCATGTGTAAGAAATCTCTCTAAGAATGAAACTGTAATAACTTCAAAAAGATTTTAACCAAGATATTTTTTTAAATATATTAAGACAAGCACCACACAACTATGAAAAACATAAAATGTATAGGTTAATAGCATAAACTGAAGTTTATAGCGCCACCTATTAAAAAAGAACGACAGCTTTGATATTCAAACTCCCTTAAGAGTATGCAACGAAAATCATAAACATGGCGCCATCTACACTCTACTACTGCTTTCAACTTTGGTGAATATCTGGCGCCATCTGCTGTAAAGCAGCCTTTGCTGGCCATGTAAACATTGTTTAACGGTGGCGTCATCTACAGCTCCTTATTATGCTTAAGCCTCACAACGAACCACAGATGACGGCACGTACACCACTTTTATGATCCTGGTCACAGAAACAAAGGATTAACCGTTTTGTTGAATGTATATTACGCAACAATAAAAATTGTCACCAAATGTGTGGCCAGGCAGCCGGTCGGCACCAGGTCACAGGAAAGCGAGCCATAAATTTCGTAGTCGATTCAATGAGCTGAAATTCCAAGGGATTTCCAACGCTGTGGGCCATTCATAAAATTTGGCTCAGTGTGGCGGCGTCCCGGCGTCATTGCGCACATGTGTTGTCAATTACCTGCTCGGATGCACAGGTAGCAGCCATACAATCAGGTAGTGTTGCATCTTGGGACTTTCCACCCAATTGTTGAATGAACATCTTACGGCTTACACCACAGACATATAAAACCAACCGACCGCTGGCCAAACACATCTAGAAGCCAAGGCAACGTCAGCCAGTCAAGCCATGTCGTCTTCATCCTCGTACACGCTCCCAAGCTCAACAATTGTCTGCACCATAGCGATACTCGTGCCGCTCGTGCTGGTCGCCTCTGCGGACCCATTGCCGCTGGCCCAACAGCTGCGGATCTGGCAGTGCAGGCAGCGTTGCTATCATCTAACGGACGCGTCGCCTTCACTGTGCCACGCTCGGCCGGATTGCTACATGTGCCACGACTACTGCCGCGTCCTGGTCGTCGCCGAATGGAGCCTGGCCAGATCCATGTGCGCGGATCGCATCTTCTGCAGTCGAGGCTGTCGCACCGCCTGCCACTTCCATCGGCTGCACACGGATACTGCGGCGCCCTTTGCCAATGCGCTCCACAAGGCGTGAGCGCCTGCGTGGGCATGAGTAGGGCGGGGCACACCTGTAAATATCCATCTAACTGTTAGTCCATAGTGAGTAAGCTCTAGTTAAATAATAAATAAAACGAAAATGAACAAAAAAACACAAAATATTGTTAACTCTCTCTCTCTCAATGTGAGCACACAAATTGGCCAGGCTGTTGCTGCTGCTGCGGCAGTTGCTGCCACAGCAGCTGTTGCCGCCGACTCGCTTTATTAATCAGCAGCGATGACGCTTCGGGCTCAACCCTGCCGCAAAAATAATTTTAAAAAATGCGCAAAAAATAAAGACATTAAATTTTGAAAAGAAAAAAAATATATAAAAAATTCTGCTCGCGCATAGAAAAGCATGCAACAGGTGGCATGCAGCAGAAGCAACAGCAGCGATCGGACTTTGGGCCGGATATTGGCTTTGCCTTTAACTTATTTTGTGCTCGCCTGCCTCTGCTTCTTCTTCTTTTATTTGGGCCAACATATGGCGCTCTCCTGGCCAAGCTCGATGCCAACTCTGCGATAAGGCCAACAGTTCCCGTCTAACGGTTCACACACTCACACACAGCTGACAAATATTTGAATCTCCACGCATATTGTTTGCTTTAACACCTAATTACATAATTGCAGCTCCCCCGCGCCCCGCGGCCCACTGACTGCGGCCTCCCCGCTGTCAGCTGTCACATAAAGCAGCAGCAGCAGCAGCAGCCGCGCATAAAAACCAGCGCATGATCGTAAAAAAATCGATTTGAAGTCTATAAAAATCATATCATACAAATTTTTATATGCCAAGCACATTTAATGCACAACAAAAAGATGAAGAGGAATGGGAGAAGGAGACGGCAGCAGGGGCAGGGGCAGGGGCAGGGGCAGAGGCAGGGCGAGGGCAGTGCTAGATGCTGCGCTTTAACTCTATTGACAAGCCAACAATAGAGATGAAAACAAGCTTAGACTTATATAGTGTGTATAATATGTATAATATAATAGTATAAATAATAGTTAAGGTGTCTGCGAGCCATGCCAAGGCAGCGGCAAGACCAACAGCTGCAGCAGCCCAACTGCTCAATGCTCTGTCAAGATCTGGAGGTTGAACGAGGAATTTAAAGTTAGAAACAAACTGGTAAATAAAAATTTTAATTTTAAAATAAAATAGTTAAAGAAATTAAGCTACAAATGTTATATAAATTAAAAAAAAAAAGAGTTTATTTAAATAAAATTAAAATATGTTTATTTTTGAATTAAAATGAGTTAAAATAAGATAAAATATATTTCTATTTAAATATACATATTAAAAAATTAAAAAAAAAGACAACAAACTCTGAACTCCAAATAGCGAGAAACAAAACAATATATTTTAAATATAATATAATTTAATGTAAATAAAACAAAAAAATATCTTGAACAATTTATAAAAAAATTAAGTTTCACATTTTACAATTCTTTTTTATTTTTATAAAAGTTAAACATAAATAAAATATATGACAAGTGAAGAGTTAAAAATAACTTAATAAAAAAGGTAAATGTAGAATTTATATAAGATTTATATAGATATATTTTTAAATATTTAAAAAAATGAAAAAATGTTAAAGTGAAATTCTTGTAACTGGCAAATATACATATATATAAATATGTTCATATCATATATATACATATATATATTCTGTATAATTTATAAATGATATGACATGTGACAAGATGCTTGACAAAGTGCGGCGACTGCGACAGCTCGAGTTCGAGTTGCCGCAAAGGGGGCAGAGGGAAAAGCGTTGGAAATGAAAAGCTAAGCCGCATTTTGAAAGCAAATTAAAAGCCACGACAAATGGTCCTAAGAAAATAAATGGCAAATAAATTTTCCATTGAGCAACAGGTGCTTAAAGGGGCTCCACGTCTAAATGTCTAAACGTCTCTCGTCTCTCTCTCGCCGGGAGAATTGAAAACTTTTCCGATGATGCAATAAATTTAGAGATAAAATTTTTATTTACGATTAAGCTGGCAAAGTTATGCACAGCCAAAGGGACGGGGGTGTTTCGGGTCTGGGGCAACTGCATAGAGCCACGCTGTCTAGGCTGGATTCTGGGTTACGTTCCCAACTGGGCATGGCACTGGGGGGCGTAAGCTTTATTGAAATAGTTGCCATCGCGCATCACGACGGCTCATGGCTGGGCCAGTGATATACTTGAGCGCACACTCATACACACACACACACACACACACACACACACACATGCATACATATATACCTAAATATATATATATTAATTAATTATGAAGCAGGCACAAAGGGTGGGGAGCGGAGAGGAGGGGGGCTGGGAGCTGCAGAGGATCAGACAGCTGGACAGCCGCCCGGTCATAACGTGCACGAAGGTGAGAAATCAATTTTCAGTATCTCGCTTTGTGCTTAATACTTTTTCCAGTGAAATGCGCCGCGACGAGGATGAGGACGAGGCTGAGGCTGAGGAGCTGCACAGCGCCTGGGGCCATACAGCAGAGGGCAGGCAGCTGAGTAAGGCACAGGCCATGCTCCGTTGACGTCAAGCCTCAGAAGCGAGGCCACAAATGAGCTTCAGTGGAGAATGGCTATGAACTGGACCTGGCTCTGGTTGTGGCTGTGGCTGTGGCTCTGGGTCTGGGTCGGGGCAGCCCTGGCACGTAAATTAGGATAACAACGTGAAACATAATTATTACTTTGGACAGATATGGCAACCTCGACTGCGCCTGCGCCGGATCCTGCGCCGCCGACTCTGCGCTCACGACTAGCTGACCGAATTGCCATACCCTGTAAGCACTCGACTGACTAGACAATGATATTACAGTGACTATAAGCGTGACATATAGGCACTTCTGACTCACTTCTTTTGTCTAACAATTGCTCAACAATTTGGTCTCTTTATTAAAGATAAGAACCCATATATATGTGGAGTCTAAATAAATAAATGAAAATATTTCAAAATTTAAAATATTTTCATTGATGAAAAAAGTAAGAAAATATTTCAAAATTTAAAATATTTTCATTGATGAAAAAAAGGTTTAAATTAAGATAAAAATATAATGAAAATATTTTGTATTAAGTGTTATTTAATTATAATTTATTTTTTTTTTTTAAATAAATTAATTAAATGAGAAAAACAAAAATGAAAGTAAAATTTTAATTTTTTATCTTTTTTTAAATATATAAAATTAATATTAATTATAAATTGTCCTTTCTATTTAAAATTAATAAAAAAAAAAACCAAAAAATTTATCTGTGCGTCGGCCGGGAATCGAACCCGGATCAACTGCTTGGAAGGCAACTATGCTGACCATTACACCACCGACGCCGCTTGTTGTGAAGGAATATACTAGTTAACTTAAAGCATAGGCTAAGCAGAGCTTCAGCTGAGTGTCGAAGCAAATGCAAATTGTTAATAAAATTTTATTTTGATTTTTTTTCTTTTAAATTATAAAAGCGAAAATAATAATAGCACTAGCAGCATTACTTGAGTTGTCTTTGGGTTTTCACAGATATTTGCAAGCATATAAGTATGCATATGCAGGGTCCACTATGCAAGCTGGTCTAATGTCTTCTTCTTCCTCCCTTGCCTAACCTGTCTTTGGGCTTTCATCTGTTTCTTCAGGCGCAACTCAAATTGCTTGTGAGTATGGTGCTATTTTATTTTTCGCATCGTTTTATTTTTATTTTTTTTTAAACTTCATTAGCAGTTGACATATTCTAGGTAAGTCAGCTTCACTAAACTTAGTTTGAATGTCGACAATTGCTAGCCACGCACCAAGACTTGGCTATAGGGTATCTCGAGGCCTTCTCCGTGCTGCCTCGATGGCTTCTCAGTTGTTTATTTTGCTTTTGTGGCCCAAATAAATGTATTAAAGTTGGTTAACGCCTTCATTTTGGTTCCGAGACGCAGCTCGAGCTCAAGCCTCAAAGTAGGTGTAATAAAAAATATGAATTGTTGTTGTTTTAAGCTGCAGCAACAACAGCAACAACAGGTTGCAGCAGCATCCAAGCAGCAGCCAAAAATCATTCAGCGCACTTTACGAGCCAAAGCTCTTGGAGTAAAATCGGATTGGGCTTGGGCACTGGGATTGGGATTCAGCTGGAGGATTCCGTGTGAACATCAAATTGGCAGGCGAAATGTGTGAATAGAAGTGTGAATAACTGACTGACTGAATGGCCAATTGAATGCGTCGAAATGAGTGCTAAGCCAACACCAAGCGACTAAGCCATAAAAGTATTCAAATGCAACTATGTGAATACTACTCAGCTAATCATTGAGTGTATTCACTCACTGCGCTTAGTTATTCATGAGTCGTCTCACTTAATTACTTTTAAGCTAATTTGCTCTCGATGCTCTCTCTCTCTTACTTTCTTGTTAAAGGTTTGACTATATTCACATATACTCATGAGCTTATTCACAAGTATTCAATGTCATGTTTCTAAGTTTGCTGCGTATTCAATCTGGAGAGTCATGAATGGTACGTATATTCACATATACTCATTGGTCAAAACATTCATAAGTCTATTCATGAGTGTATTCATGAGTGTATTCATGAGTGTATTTCATGCGTAGGTATATTTAAGCACTTACATATATTTCCACAATAACACTGCTTGTAGGTATTCAGGATAATAAACACAAAATACTTATTAATATTATGAATATATTCAAATGCTATACATGAGTATATTCATGAGTGTATTACACTATTTATGAATTTATTCATTGATTTTTATTTCCCTAACTGGAATTTGTACATATTCAAATACACCCACGAGTATATTCACCAACATTCATGAGTGTATTCATGAGTGTCTGCAATTATTCACGAGCGCTTGCGTTTATTCAACTATTGATTCAGAGGAATGTGCATCATTATGCTTAAAGCTGCGTGCACCGAAATGTATTCATGAATATATTTGTGAATAGATTTGCAAAGCACTCGTTTCTCTTTTTATAGGTAATTAAGCATTCACAAATATATTTATATATTTAAACTTATGTATTCATGAATGTTTGTGTATTCATAACTCACATCTGGCAAATAATTTGTTTATTCAATCGTCTGAGTTTATTCAAATTCAAATTCATATTTTATGGCGCATTAATGGCTTTATTGATGAGCATTAAGACTGTAAACGGGCTAATAAGCCGCACACTGAAAATAGATTTAATTAAGCTTTGAATTAATTGAAAAAAAGACAGAAATGAAAAAATATAAACAGAGCCGAAAAGGTGTAAATTGGCATTTGATCCTTGGGCTCATCAGGTAATTAACGCACAGCGGTGCAGGCGGAGTTGGATGGAGGTAAAAGTAGGGGCAGCATCAGTGGCAGGGGTAGGGGCAGAGGCATGCCCACCCGCTGTTGCTGCCTGCTCGAAGGAAATGCCACAAAATTGAAAATGCAAAACGAAATTGGCAACTGGCAGCGGCAAACGGAGTGGAGCGGAAACGTTGCCCGTGCGTAATGAAGACGTTAAGCTGAAGCTGAGGCTAAGGCTGAGGCTGAGGCTGAAGCTGGAACTGCGACTGGGAGTATAAAACTGGGACTAAGACTTGGGACTTGGCTCTGTGGCTGGCAGGCATGCGTCGCAGTTGCAGTCGCCGTCGCCGTCGCCGTTGCCGATGCCGTCGCTGGCTGCGTAACTCTTTTGCGGCGGCTCGTTTTGGTTCCGCTTGCATGTTAACTGAAAATTCGTATGAAGGCGAGAAATTAATGAATCATTCACACCTGCATGACGGATTGTCGGCATTACTCTCCGCAACGCTCTGGCTCCATTTTGTACGACTGCGAACGAGGCAAACGAACTGGACGGGGGCGCGACGCTCCTGACGCTTCTGCCAAAGGAGTTGCCTTCTAATTTATTTGCCTGATGTGTGTATTACATTTGTGGGCCCCGACCCCGACCCTGCCAGTCGCCAGTCGCCAGTCAGCAGTCGGCAGTTGGCAGTCGCAACGGTGTCCCGATTCCGGACGCGTTGCATTTCGTAAATTGCCTCTCGGCTATGCAGGTCGCAGTTCTCGAGACGATGATGGTGCTGTTGCTGTTGCTGTTGCTGTTGCTGTTGCTGTTGCTGTGGCCGCTGCTGCCTGATGATGCGTTCAGCAGAAAGTATCTTTCAGATACAGTTGCTGCTCGCAGATACAATGGCCGAAATACGTTTGCGCCGCAGCGAAAATCCAATTCATTGTTGTTTGCCACGCACGTGTTGTGGGTTGCCAGCCCTTAACACCTGAGCACCTGACGACCTGAGACCTGGCATCACCTTAAACTCGATCTCATTAATTATTAATGACAGCAACTTGTTCTGCCAGCGATGCCAGTCGCTCACCACACAACCGAAGCTATCGATCAGTGAGTAGATAGATATATCCAGCTATATCTATCGATAACAATAACGATAATTGATATGCGAGCTTGACTTGATACTCATTGCATAAACTATCGATAGGCAATTTGACTGTAATTAGATATGACTTAGATATATGAATTGGAGCTATCGATAGTAATATCGATTTACATTGCATACTTAAATGCATATTCCATTAGCATATTCACTTCTAGTCTAATAGAACTCTGATTCTCACGTACAACTTCGATAGTTCATCTCAATACGGCAACCAGAATAATCGATCAAGTTATCGATTGTACAAGTTGCAGTCCCATGTACGACTTCAGCTATCGATATTCTTGCTATACATTTCTGAATTATTATCTACAGCAAAATGTGAGCCGAATCGATTAATTAGCAAGTTATTTCCCGTGCTTCGGAATTATCGATATCGATAACGGCGTTAATCTAGTGCCATCTTTCTAAAAGAAGATTGTCCAGGTCAGTTATATATACTTAGCTGATTTTCTTCTGCGATAAGCAATAATCGTTATCGATAAACAAGACTTTTCCAATTTATTGCCTCGATTAGTCGATAGTTATCGCATTATTCGATAGTTGCATAGCTTGGCCCATGGTCGTCTCAGCTGGCCCAGCTTCGGGCTGATCTTGTGGTTCAGGTACGTTGCGTGCAGCGTGTGAACTTGATGGATGCACTGCCTCCGCCTGCTCACACCACAGCTCCACAGCACCACTGCACCACTGCACCACACGAAGCCGCCGGGCACTTTGCTGGAAATTAAAATTCATACTCAAATTCGCATTCGCATTCGCATTCACAAAAATGCAGCTAGCTGGTGCGTTCCTGTGCCCATTCCCGCTTTCGTTCCCAGTCCCAGTCCCAGTCCCGTTCCCATTCCCATTCCGTTCCGTAACCCTCTCGCTGTTTACGACCTGAAGTCAACAGTCAGAGAGAAATGCAGTTGGAAATGTGTTTTAACTGGAATATTGCAAGGCTAAGTGAATGCTTTCCATGTCAATATACCCCGCACTGCCAAATACCCTGTAGATCGCCAGCCCCAGCTGACCCACCCGTCGAGTCTATTGAGTAAAAGGAGCACATACCCTGTAGTTTGAATAATACTGGAGTTCAGTTTCAATTTATTTAGTTCGATTCGCTTCATCAGTATACCCTGTAATATTACCAACGTACGTATATCTTAAGCTAACATACCCGAAGTGAAAGGGAATAGGACAGTTGAAACGCTACTCGATTTCAGTTTTAGCCTTGTGAATACATATATTTGCACAACTCGGTTACACCCCGCGCTCTCCACACTTAGAGGGTATTCCTAGATTAAAAAAAAATTCTTTTATAAAAATAAATGGTTTTTGTTGCAATTGTTGTTGGGTTTGGGACGCGTGTTATGTGCCGAGCAGCGACTCGATGCTGAAGGAGGAGTTGTACTGCGGCTTCTGCTGCAGCGGCGGCTGCTCAGGCAGCACCGTCAGACTCGGTGGCTCCAATGATGTCAGTGGCTCCAGGGGGAGCCGCTCGGGCTCCACTGGCTCCAGTTTTATCACAGGGCTGCTGTCGCAGCTGTCTTCCGGGCAGCCTCTTTGGTTGCAATTGTCCAAGCTGTCGCCGCCCACCACATCGATGGGCAGCTCTTCGTCCAGCTGCTCGCCGTGCTCCAGCGCCTGCTGCAGCTCCATGTGACTGCTGGGCTCAGTCTGGTGAGCCGCCAGATAGTCGGCGCGCAGCTGCTCCACATTGACCTCGAGCCCCTTGAGGCGCAGCTTTCGCGCCTGCCGCTCGATCGCCTTGGCTATGCGCTTGCTGCGCTGTGCGCTGCTCGAGAGGATTGGCCATTGAGTGGGATCAGTTATGGGGCAACTGTTACTCGGCTGTACCGTTCACTTACCGTTCCCTGGCGCGCAGCTCCTGCAGCGGAATCGGCGCTCCGCTACAGCTCTGCGGCTGAGCATTGTGCGCCGGCCGACCAGGACCCTTCTTCGTGTGCTCCTTCTTGCGCCACTTGGCGCGGCGATTCTGGAACCACACCTGCAAGTGGTACGAGATACGAGACATTAGACGACAGTTTAAAAGCACCTGAACAATAGCTAAGCATAACCACGCACTCTAGCTTCGACAAGGAGACACAGAGCAGGTGAGAAGGAGACATTGTTGAGTCTTGGAAGCCTCTTGTAATTCGTTCGCTGACTAATATAAGAATCAGATTCGATATAGATATAGATCGAAGACATCGGATATGTTGAAAGACACAGCGAGTAAACTTAGCCAAGCAAGGATTATCAGGTAATGCTTCGTGCTTATTCATTGGGATCTGTCTTTAGGCTCATCAAGAGATCTGCAAGATCAAAGGATTACTCTGCACAGAAACTGAAAGAGACAGCTGAACGCATGGATGGGCAGAGTGAGAGCGGGTTAAGTCAAGCTTACGTAACATGTGAGCTCAGTTTATTGTATGGATTACACGATATCTGGATTACCTAGAGTTCAATAAGTATCCATATATAAAATTGGCAATACGATGAGCAATCTCTATGCCTATGCTACTGATATATATATTATATGATATATATACTAATACTAATGATGAGGATCACAATATTAGTCAGAGTAGTAACGATCTTAGACACTCGCAATTAATGAGTTCGCATCAGCTGAATAGCTGAACGCTAGCAAGAATAATGAATATTATTATTATAATGTCGCTATCGTAATTTAGTTATAATATTCTCAGTTTCAGTTTCGGTTTCGGTTTCGGTTTCGGTTTCGATATGCACTCGTTCGCTATTCATGGGGTTAGACGGCGGGTCGTAAACAAAATGGCGTCCCTAATTGGGGGCAGTTTGAGGAGCGACTCAAGCGCAACGCAAACGCATTTCGAGTGGGCGTTCAAATGCCTCTCTCTCTCTCTCTCTCTTCCTCCCTCTCTCTCTCTCTGTCTGTCTGTCTGTCTGTCTGTGTGTGTGTGTCACTTCAATTTGAAGTCATTTGCATGCATTGTGCATTTTTTAATGTGCAGCAAATTGTTTTTGAGTAGCTGCATGCGATGCTCACGTTGCCTGCGCTTTAACGAGCGCCCAAACCTCAACCTGAACCAAAGCCAACTCGAATTGCACCGCCCATCAGCCAGCTGGCTCACCTGTCCAACTATTCGTCTGTCTGTCCGACTGTGGCAGTCTTGTCTCGTCTTGTTCGCATTGACAAATTGATATGTCATGTCAAGAAACAATTTCTGGCTAAAGCGTAGACGCAGACATAGAATAATGTCCCAGCCCAAGAAACCGACGACGATAATCACACGCCTGACATGCAACTCGGCAATGGCAACGGCAACGGCAACGGCAGCGGCAGCGGCATCGCCATCGTCGTCGTCGTCATCGACAGCGTCAACTCTTTGGGCAATGCAATTGAAATCATTCCAACAGCAGCGAGCGGCACGAAACGCAATTCGAAATGAAATAAAATGAATTATAATGAATAAAAATAGTCGGGTAATTGGTTTTATTGAGTAATTGAGTTGCAGTTGCAGTCAAATTGTTTTACAAGGCGCACGCAAATGCCACTGCAATCAAGTGCGATCGAGCTCGATGCCAAGCCAACAGAACAAAACAGGATTATCGATGACAAATGCATTGGAAAATATAATTAGGAGGCTAATAATATGATTTTGATTGATTTGCATTGCGAAATAAAGAAAATACAGATATCGATACATTGATCGATTACATCAAATCAATACTAAATGGTTTATCGATGACAAATACTTTGGAAAATAGAATTAGGAGACTAAAAATATAATTTTGTTTGATTTGCATTGCGAAATAAAGAAAATACAGATATCGATACATTGATCGATTACATCAAATCAATACTAAATGGTTTATCGATGACAAATGCTTTGGAAAATAGAATTAGGAGACTAATAATATAATTTTGTTTGATTTGCATTGCGAAATAAGGAATATACAGATATCGATACATTGATCGATTACATCAAATCAATAAAAATGGATTCTCAATGGATATATTTATTGGAAAATAGAGTTTATGTAAATTTGTTAAGTTAAAAAACAGAATACATGAATATCGATACATTAATCGATTACATCAAATCAATACCACAGGCATATTCGATGACAAATGCACTGGAAAATATGTTTAAGAAACAGATTATATGAGTTGATATTATGATATTCGACTAACATGTAGATATCGATATATTTATACTTCTTCTGCAATTGATCGATAACATCTTATTTATAATATCTAAAAATGGTCTATTACAAGTTATCGATAACTTATCATGTCTACTTTAGTTGATAATAAATGAAAAAATGTACAATTTGTTATCGATAACGTACATATTATATTTCTAATTCTGATAAGTTATCGATTGCCTAAAATTCTCTATATTTCATAATAAAGCTTATGATATTTCACAATGAATATTTGAATTAATAATGCTTATGGATGGGGAAAGAAAAGTTAGTAGTTGCTAAGTGCTATCGATAAATCGAATTTGTGATATCGACTAGTATAAGCGAAAGGAAATGTTTCAAATCATACATTGTTTTTTGATCATGACAAACTAATTGCGATTGTTAGCTGGAATATTCTACGACATGTTATCGATAATCGATCGATACAAATTCGAAATGTTTCAGGTGCTTCAATTAGGTATTTAACTATATTGGGTTATCGATTCTTTTCGATATTCTTGGTATCGGGACTTACCGCAATGCGCCCCTCCTTTAGATCCAGCCGCATGGCGAGAGCCTCGCGCATGAACACATCCGGGTAGTGGCTGCTGAGAAAGGCCCGTTCCAGCTCCTCCAGCTGCCAGGTGTTGAAGTTTGTGCGGCTCCGTCGACGATTGGCAGCGGCTGCTGCGCTGCTCTCGCTGGCCGTCTCATCGTCGTGGGCGGAGGCAGAGGCAGAGGCGGAGGCGGAGGCGGAGGCGGAGGAGACTGCAAAAGTCGATAAGTTGTTGGCATTAGGCGCTCAGCTCTAGACGCAAATCGCTAATGGTAAATCGCAATTGCAAATCGCACATCGCAAATGGAGCTGCTGCCAACAAGCGAGCATAATTAACTGACAAGCGCGTGGGCGTGGTGTAGGGAGAGTGAGAGAGGGGGGAGAGGGGGAGCGGGGGAGCGGGAGCAGCAGAGGCAGACAGCACATATAGCCAACATGGAAGTCGAGTCGGGGGCTTCTGCCTCGGCCTCCTTGGCTGTCTGTGCATTTTGGTTTCGTTCAGGCTAGGCTCGTATTATAATTGCAAACAATTAAAGTCTATTTATGTAAATTTCCAAGATATGCTAACGGCTAACCGCATAGAGGAGCACAGGAACACAGGAACCAGCCGGCAACGGCAACGGCAACGGCAACGGCAATGGCAATGGGCGTGGCATGGCATGGCTCTGCTGGCTGGATGGTCGTCCAATCCCCGGCCCGCCTTCTAGCAGCCAGCCACAGTTGTCCCTGCCCCAATTGCCAGTCGCTGCTGCTCGTAGACCTCTGCCTCTGGCCTCCATTCTTAGCCCCTGACTCGGGCGGGCGCATTGCATTTGGCAATGTTGTTGTCGGAGCCTTTGCCGTTGCCGTTGCCGTCGTTTGTCTTTCTAATTTATAGCAGCGCAAATTGGTTTTCACAATTAGGAAGTGGTGGGTGTTGCTTGGGCCTGGTGCCTCGGATATGTTTAAAGCGCCGCTGCGGAAGTAAATTACATGTAGCGCGAGTCCGATTCGCTCGCCCCCAAACGTCGCAGTCACCTCCCTCGTTGCCAGAGGCAAAGCCTGTGTTTAGTTGCAGTTTTAAGTGAAATTTAATTGCAGAATTTGCTGGCTAACCAATTAGAGCTGCGGCGGATGGGGGCGAGATCACTTAACAATTCACAAAAAAGGCTACAAGAGAGAGAGCGAGAGAGAGAGATAGCTGAGGGAGCTAGACAAAAACTAAAAACCAATCAAACTCAACTTTCGATGCGCATATTCGATAGCTCCACGTAATGATGACAATGATGCGGCCGACCCCAAGCACATACTCGCCGCATTCCGGGCCGGAGTCGGCACTACGTGATATTCATATGTTAAAATGCACACAGATTTCAACAATTTATAAACACATCTGCTACCAAATCGAAGGAGTGTCTCGAGGCCCGTTCCAACCCTCGATTGACACAACAAAGGACCCAGCGACTTCATAGACGCAAACACACACACAGGCGCAGACAACGAAGGGCGGGGAGGGGGCGAGCGGGGACAGGTCCTTGGTATCGCTTGTCCATTCGCATTCGTATGGCTCTCTCGGCTCTTGGCTCAGCGGCCTCATCATCACACTTGAAAGAGTAAATAAAATATAATTCCTCAAGGGTGTTATAAATAAAATTATCTGAATTATGGTTTCTGTTGACTTTCTGACTTTGTTCGAGCACGCTCTCTGCCTCTCCCTCTCCCTCTCCCGTCTCTGTCTCTGTCTCCCTCTCTCTGTCTGTCCTTCTCTCAGTTTCCCAGTGAGTTGGTCTTGCTGTGGCATAGTTGTGCTTGGGGTCCATGCCCCTAATTTGCTACAAGGCGCCTTCATGCATTAACTCAAATCGATAGCAAACTGCGGCCCAAGCCTGCCTGGGAGGGGGCGTGTCGGCGTCGATGGCAAAAGGGCTGGTTATAAATCAGATAATGGAGCACAAAAATTATGACAGCTACCAAATCAGTTAGTGAAACAATCAAGCAGCGACGAAGAAGCATTTGAAAGACTTAAGGAAGAGCTACGGATGCTTCAAGGAATACCTAATGCAGCCAGCAGCAGAAGCGATATATTGGGCTATATATTCTTAATCAAATCGAAGGGTAAGTGGAGCTGGCTGAGTGAGCGATCTCACACGCTGTTAACTATTTGTCGAGCTCTCTCATTCGCTAAGCAAACTGAAGCTAGATCAAATGTCATCATTGTCTTTTGGAAAGACTTTTTGCTTAGAGTTAATAAGTTTAGAACCTTTTGAATGCTGTTAAATGATATTAAGTGATTCGATTTGTCCTTAGCTTAAACTCACAATGTCTATATTATTGTATAGCCATTAGGCAAACATGGAATTCTCAACTGGTTAAAGCAAAGGCATTGCCTGCATGATCTCCTAACAGCTATAGAAATAATTCGCTCACTTCTTGTGTCTTGCTGATATCAATTAGAAATAATCAAGCAACAGAAGCTGAACTTGAAGAGTTTTTCCGATGTGCATTTTGAATGGGGTTTCAGTTGCCGGACAGGCTGAACCCTTTTCGTTTGATAGTGACTTTGAGTTGCTTCTCTCTCCCTTTCTCTCCCACTCTCTCCCCCTCTCGCTCTGCTGCTTTATGCCTCTTCCGCTTGATTGTGCCGTGAGGCAAGCATATTTGGTTTGCCGTTTGTCTGTCCCTGTTCACTCCACATTTTGGCCTAATTAAAAATGTTAGCCCTATTTTAATTAGGCCAGCAAATGGTGCACAGTTGCGAGGCGCTTGCAAATTTGCATATAAATAGTATAAATTGTTATTATTGTTGCTGTTGTTGCTGTCGCTTTGGCAGACTCTGCGGACAGCGTCTAATCTACGGGCTGCTGCATTGGGTCCATCTAACGCCTATTGCCCCTTAGCTCTGCCTAATTTCAAAGGTCGTTAAGCAAACAAACTCAAGTGGAACAAAATGCAGCGACAAACAGCCAGAGACAGCGAGAGCGAGAGCGAGAGCGAGAGAGTACCCTAGGGGAAAAAATGTACAAGGCTCGTGACCATAACGCTGAGCGGGCAAAACTACCCGCCTCGGGGGCTACCAAAGGCGAATCAAATCTGTAAACTCAACCAGTGCCGAGACTCGTGCCAGTTAGCGGTGGCAGTGGCAGTGGCTGCAAATTTGTTCGTCTCCCACAAAGTCGAACGACCCACAAAGAATTACCCAAAAAATCACCATAAAAATCTATATAAAAAATTAACTTCCAGCAACAAAATGCACAAAAAAAGAGCATAAAACGAGGCCTCATTAGCATTTATAGGCCACACAAATGTCAGACGCTGCGCTGCTTTGAGCGGGTCGTGGCACCTTTTGAGGTTCATTAGAAGCTTGTCACATGATTTGATTTGCTTTGCGTTGTTTTTTGCCTACAAAAAAAATAGAAAAAAAAAATAGAAAAAGTGGAAAAAATAAGAGTTAAATAGAGCTCGAGTCACAGTTAAATAAATATAAAAAATACAAATTGCAGCTCTCACACTCGCTCACACATGGCAGCCTCTTATTAGGGCTGCTAATTATGCGACCCTCACGCAGCATCCCATAAAACAAAAAAAGGATGAGAAAAAACTCACTACGGATCCGGGCCACGCGCCCCTGTTAACGGGGCTTTCTATTTGGTTTTCCTAACGTGTTTTTTTTTTTTGTTTTTGGTTTGTTTTTTCTTTTGTAACCCCTTTGCCTGGCTGAGTTTTCAGTGGCTGTCAAAGTCGTTTAGCTGCTTGTTTTTGCTGTTCTTCCACTTTGATGAATTGTTCGAGCGACCTCGGCTGCGTCTCTAACTTTGGAGTGTGTTAAATTGTTGCACGCCGCACGCTAAACGCTCCGAGCGCGCCCCATGAGAATCTCGCGACGTGAGAATCCCGAAATCACCAAAAACATTAAGCTGCATGTGAGCCCAGCTCGCTTGGCCAACACACACATGAAAGAACACCAATCGATGATCAAGCTATAGAGTTGGGATCTCCAATCGAGAATAACTGCGAGTGCCAGAAGCCTAGGCGCAACTCTGCAGCCTGAGGAAACCTTTGGCCTCATTTTCTATTTTGCTTCTGCTAATCATATTTCTCTTCCTTAATTTATATGATTCATGGCCATGATTTAACTGGCATAGAAAGTATAGTCATCATATAAATTGACTCCTATCGACTAGTAAAACTTCTAAGATTCATAATCCTTTTCTTCAAGCTCCTTTAGATAATGTGAATCTCTCTCTCGCTCTTTATCTCTCGTACTCTAACCTTTTTCTCTCTACCTCTCTCTCTCTCTCTCTCCCCCTGTACCATTCTCTTCTTCTATTCTCTCTCTCTCTATTCATCTCTCTCTCTATCTCTTTCTCTCTCTATTCATCTCTCTCTCTCTCTCTCTGTATATCTCTCTGTCATTTGCTTCCTTTTTCAATTGCTCTTTGACCGTCTCTAAATATCTAAAAATAAATACACCTCTTTCTCGATATCTCTAACGTTCTTCCTCTCTCTCTTCTGCACTATCATAAGCTAATGGCGGACTGTCGCTCTCGCCTTTCTTTCTTTATTTCTTTCTCGAGAGACAGACTCTCTGTTTATCTTTTTTCTCTGCCGTTTCTCCTTATCTTTATTTCTCTCTATATTTTTATATTTTTTATTTTTCTTTTCTTGAGTTCTTGCTCTCCCTTTCGCTCTCTCTCTCTCTCTCTTTCTTTACCTTTCTCTTCATCTATCTCTCGTTCATTCTCTTACAATATCGTAAGCTGTCTTTCTTGCTCTCTTTCTCGTTTCCTTCTCGCCTATTTTCTCTCTCTCTCGCTCTCTCTCTCTCTCTCTCACTGAACGTGCGAATCTCTTCCATGTTCCACAGTCGTTAAATTGCTCTCTAAAGCTTGCAACCAATCCAAAATTGATTTCAGCCGCGCAGTCTCTGCTCTACATGCCGAGTTCTAATGTAATTGATGGCATCCATGTAATTGGCCAGGTTAAGAAGATGTTGCTATTACATTTGCATTACGTTTACACACCCATTTCCTAAGCTCATGGATGAAGCTGCACGAACAGGGAGAGGGAGAGATGGGGCAGTCGCACAGTGGGCAACAAATGTGTGGCACTTAAATTAATGAATTTCTTTGCACTTGCCACGACGGTAATTGGAGAGAAGAACCCTGAGCAAGTGAGTGACTGACCCGAGTGGACACACAGACAGAGCGAGCGAGGGGCAGCGGCTGGGTGGGGCTAATAAGTGGAGATCCTCGCATTGGGGCCACTTCAATCGACCGATCTGTCGATCTGGCGTCGAGGCTCGAACGGGCACAGCGTCGTCTGCTGCTGCTGCTGCTGCTGCTGCCAACTTGCACATGAATTTATATGAGTTGTTTGCATTAAAATGAATTGATCGACACGACGAGCTACACTCGCCTGCCCCCGTCCTGCCCTGCCCCATGCTGCCTGCCCCCTGTTTGACCACTGTTGAGCTCGTGTGCTGGGTCATTGCTCATCTGCCACGCCAGGCACGTCAACGCAGCAAATTACTTGCTGCTGCTGCTGCTGCTGCGATGCAAAATTGAAAATTCAAGTGGTTAACTTGGCAACATGTTGCCAGTCCTCCTCCCCTGCCTCTGTCTCTGCCCCGCTCTGTCGCTCGCTGGTCTCGTGTTGCATGTTATGATTAAATTTTGATAGCCAACAACAATCAAGTCAAGGAAAATCAATAATTTTTACGCATCTTGTTACGTTGCCAGAGACCAGAGCTGAAGCTGAAGCTGGTTGCCTTTAGCTGGACTCTTGACGAAAAGCTCTCAAACGAACGGACGATCGCTGCCTGCGATCGACCTGGACATCGACATCGACATGCCAAAGCGGCGCATAAATGTTTTGTTGTTTTAATGAAGACGTCGGCTCCAGATCCAGCTCCAGTTCCAGCAACAGCTCCAGCAACAACTCGAGCTCAGAAGAAGACATCAAGGCGTTGCATGCCAGCAAAAATGTTTCCTCTTCTCCTTTTCTTCTCTTCTCTTCTTCCTCTTTTTTTGCATTTTGCTTTCGAGGGGCGCGTCAGCGTCTGCGTCTGAGACGTCTGCACGCCATGACTATCGGGCCTTTATACGCTGTCTCTGTCTTTTGGCCTTCCTCTCTTTTGCTCTCGCTCTGGCTGTGTTGCTGTTGCGGCTGCATTACGAATAGGGTCTAATTATTGTGGCAAGCCCCTGAGCTATAATTTGCCTGATTGATTTACATAACGATCGAAAATGATCAAGACATTAATTTCTTATTAACGTCGCTCGCTCGCTCGCTCTTTTTTGCCTTTCCGCGCTCGCTCGCTCGCTCGTTAGGCGTTGGCGTCGCTGCCAGCGCTTCCAGTTCCAGTACCAATTCCAACATTGTTGCTGCCCGCCTGCAGCCGCATCGCTGCTGCGTCTGTGCGTCTGGGGCGTAACTCTGGAGCAATGTTTCGTACGCTGTCGCTGCCATTGCCTCTGCCGCTGTCCATCTTTAGCCGCTGCACATTGACTCTTTTCAATTTCTTCATTTTACTGCCATTTGGGTGCATGGGCTCTTCGCGGCATTCGTTACACTATCTGCTCGATTTATGCAACAGGGGGCGCCAACATCTTTCTCTTAAAAAAAAAAACAACAACAACATTCAATAAGCTGAACAATGCATGCTCTCATTTCTTATTGCCCATTTTTCTTATTTTCGCACTCTCTATCTCTCTGCCTTTTGCGCGCTCTCACGTTCACACTCGCTCTCTTTGAAAGTTTTGCCCAATTTGGTTTGCTTTCGGTCCCTGCCTTTCCGCCTCTTCGGCTCTCGCTGATCGTTTTGTTCGTTTCGGACATAATTAATGTTAGTTTTAACGCTGCTTGAAAATGTTATTTCCCTTGATTATAGCAGGGCACAACGGACAACTGCTGCCGTAGCGGCTGTTCCTCGACGCTGTTGTTGCTGCTCTCGTTGTTGTTGCTGTTTACTGCCGCTGATTGTTGGGTCTTGGTGTTGGGCAGTTGCCTGGTTGTTGGCTGGCGTTCCCTCGCCTGGTTTGCTGTAGGCAGTCATGGGGAAACATTTTATGACGATTACTGTAATTCGTTGCCGCAAACAATAATTACTTTCCATTACGAAAATGGCGGGCATATTATCACCTGAATATCACACACATGCACACATATAAAGATACACAGACATGTGCAGCGACTCACTGCAAGGCGAACACAGGTGTTAAGCGTATGTGCGCTAACATCGCAGTCAGCGTCGCAGTCAGACGTCAGCGTTAGCGTCTGCATCTCCGTCTCTGCGTCCGTCTTCGTCGCTTCGCCCCGATCGCAATTCGCCACGGCAAATGAAACGTTTCGCTGCGGTTGCGAGTCAAAGTCGTTGTGGCGTTGTCTAAAATTTTCGGTAATAAAATATGACAACTCAATCAAGGCCCATAAAAGCCAAGGCACACCAACAAAACATTAACAACAACAACTGATGATCAGGGCGGGTCTGGTTTCAGTTTCGGAGCAAAAGCTCAGTAATTTGCAGAGGCTGCAAAGGCGATCAAAATTTACGATCATTTTGTTTTCAAAATCAATTTAGAAAGGAAGCGCGGCAAAGATCAGCCAGCGCACGACAGATGCGCAGCGCAGCGAGTGCGAGCGAGAGCGAGAGAGTGAAGCCTGCTGCCAAAAAGAGACGGCAAACTAAAGCTTCAAATTGAGTTCTTAAGTTGTGGCAACGTTTTTTTTGTGCTTTGTCCGTGTTGGTCCCCTCCTTTCACTGATCGCACGATCAGTTTGCAGTTCAGGTTCGAGGTTGTCTGCTTATCGAAGAGAAGAGGGGAAGAATGAAGGAAGAAGAAAGGGGGGGGGGGGGGATTGGTTCGGTTCGTTATGTTGTTCCAACTGGTATATGGAACTTTTCCTTTTCGGCAGTTATTAGCCAGGTAAAACACGAGTCTTGCACATTTGAGAGCTTGTAATTTACTTAATTTGATTACGAACGACGTCCAGCACGAGTGGGCGTGTACTTTGGAACCGAATGAACCGGCAGTGTTCCCCAATCGCAGTCCGAATCCCAACCTGAATCTGTGTGTGTCTGCGATGGAACAGCTGCAGGTGCAATGCAAATTCGATGCTTAGGCAAATATGCAATTTATGTGGGTGGATGCATTGGATTGGATCGTTAAGCAAATGGACTTCAAAAGAACAAATCAAACAGGAAAGCAAAACTGAAGAAATGGAATTGAGAACTAGGAACTGAAATGAACTTAGCTAAATAAATTAACTAGTTACATAGGATAAGTAAGCGCGAATAAAGATCGGTACACAGATTAAGCTGATTCTGATGCAGCATCCATGAACTAGTTCAAATGAACTGGCTGAAATTGGTTCTGCATTTGGTGTAAGGTGATATATTATAAGGTTCGCTACTAATATATTCTTATAGCTTATTTTCTGTATGAGTGATCTAGTTCAAATGAACTGGGTGAATTTTGTATATGAAACAGTTCTTTCCATATGCTTAATAATATTAATTTAAAAAATTAGTATGGGAGTCATGGGTTTACAACGAGATATGTAGTTCATATGAGCTGATTCACATTTTAAAATTTATTTTTAAATGAGAGATCTAGTTCAAATGATCTAACTCAAATTGTTTACTCCTTAAAAATTAAAAATACGATTTACCTATATTTATGCTACAGCTTTTATTCTGCAATGTTCAAATGAACTGACTCACTCGCTTACCACTTAACCTAAGACCAATCAAATCATATTTTTCCACAAACACACACACATGCAGATATGAATAAAATTAATTGAGCAAACAAATTAAATTTATGGGCAACAAGAAATCTATTAATATAGACAATAGTTTATTAATTGAAAGTTATGTATGTTTGTGTGTCTGGGCTATGGCTTATGATTTATGCTTAAGCCAAACAACAACAAGAACAGCAACAACAGCAGAGGTGAAGAGGGCCATCGAAAAGCTAACAACAACAAAATCAAAATCAAAGCGAAAAGCAGAGCGCAAAAATAAAGCTGAGCATAAAAATTGATTTCTGCTGCTGCTTTAATAAATTCTCGGCTGCCGTTGTTGTTGCCTTTGTTATTGGCCCGAGCCAGAGCAGCAATAACAACAGCAGCAGCGACAACAACAACAACAACAAGAACACAATCTCAATCAATTTCAAGTCGCACATCACATCAAAACAAATTACCAAGGAATTAATTTGCCATCAGAATCACGCAAGCGCAGAGACTGAAACCGAAACTGAGACTCGAGCTTCAATTCCAGCGAATGGAAGGGGAAGGAGGAGACGATGCAAAACTGTGCGGGCAGCAGAGCAAAGGGGCAGCGACGCCGACGTCTGAAGAGAGAGAGAGACGCGCCAGGATGAGTTTGTTTGCGGCGATGGCGATTAATAGAGCGTCATGATGGTGTAGCAGCGGCAGCGGCAGCGGCGACGGCGGCGGTGTCGGCAGCAACTGCGGCCGTCCGATGATGGTAGGTGCCGTGATTAATACATGAGGATTTAATTAACTTGCCGAGCTGCACACGTGCGCTATCTCGCTCGCACCGGCACACATGCCGCCCACTTGCTCTCGCCCTCTTGCTGTACATGTGTTCCGGCCGCTCTCTGCTTCAGCTCGAAACTATGGCGACGCCGCACGTCGACTGCGACAGCGACTGCTGTGCAGCGAGTGAGCGAGAGAGCAGAGCAGAAAGCGCTCTGCTTTTGCAATTTGCTGTGCGTAAAAGCAGAGCCTCAATCGCGATCAGTCGTTCGACCTGTAAAGACGTGAATTCGAACAGCCTTCGCTTAAGCTCTACTGCTGCAGAGTTCTAAAAATAGAACTTTGCGGTGC